GCTGCTGGACGTGAGAGGCCGATGGTGAAATTTCGTTTTCGACGAGGAGGCATCTGCTGCTTTGGCCCTAAAACAAGAATGCTTTACAGAGGCACAGTGATTTGTTTCACGATGACGGAGGTCCGCTCTCCAGATCGTTCACTTGCAGTGTTTGAGAAAAAATGAGGCACTCTAATGAAAATTTATTAGGTCTTACTTCCCGAAACCACAATGTGGTTATGGGAGACGCTGCAGGGCAGGGCTCCAGAAATTTTTACCACCTTTTTTTATTGCGATATAGACTTGTCTTTAAGGCATAATATTTTTTGGTGTGTTATGTGTATTACATATGCGCCGTTTGGCCGGTGTTGTGTATGAAGTGAAGCAGTGTCTTGTGGAGTGTGCTGTCATGTTTCCGGCGGTTGTAACAGGTTGTATCACTGTAGTGAAGGCCGGCTTTAAGGAGGTGACTGCAGCGTTCCTGGGATCTTTTAACGTGCACCTAAATACAGGGCAATGTGGACGACAACGCTAAGCTGGGAAGGTTGTACGGATAGCGTGCTTAATAGTGCGCAGTTGACACATTAAAAAATACCACGAGAAAGTGGTACTAGCAGTTGATAAGTCAAGGCACATCAAGTGTGTGACAGCAGAGCTCAAGAGACAATACGGAACACTTTAATGATGTATGATGTTCAGTGGTTAATGACCGTTCTATACAGTGCACTTGGTTCGATACAGAAACTTATTTTTTTATTTATTTCTTCATGCTGTAGCCTTGAAGGCCTATCTCAGGAGTGAAGGTGGAATACAAAAGTGTCATACAATGCAAAACGTACTGAGCATGAAGATAAATGGCTATTAATGTGCAAAATGAATTCATCACGTGGCAAACATTCAACATGATGAGGCAAATCATTGGATATTTGAATAATGTGGACAAAAAATTATGTACGAATATACGAATTTGTTCGGTGATGAAAAGGAGACTTATTCAACTGATGATGGTGTTGTTTTGATGTTGGTTTGGCAAGTGTGATGTAGTGCTGAGTGAAGAAAATGGCTGACAGTGAATAAGTGCGTAAAAGAAGATTGAAACATTCAAGGTGACGATACAAAGAGAGTAATAAGCTGACGGCTACATAGGTGAGAAACAGCTGAAAAATATCCATCCTATAGCGACGATATATAAAGTGCACTGCTTTCTCCTAGACAAATTCAATTTCTTTATGTCAGATATTTTGAGAAGTATGCCCATGACAAAGCCGCGTATTGGACTAACCAGGGTTCCATAAGGAAGGAGTGTTGTGTTATTTGGGCCAAACGTACATAGTGTAAACGTTGTAGGTACCCCAGTCTTCTAAGGGCACGACGATGTGATGGTTCAGCGAACTGGGAGCGTGGGGGTAAACACAGACACAAAGCAAAGAGGAGCCCCCCCCCCCCCCCCCCGCGCTCCCATGTTTGCTGAACCATCATGAATTACCAACTAGCCCACCTTTCCATTCTATTGCACGACGATGTGACCAAGATAGATTCTTACTTTAAAAAAAGAGCGAAATATTTGGCCAATATAGGACAAATAAATGGCAAATATATTCAAGGCACGAAGAATATGTTACGCAATATGAATAAAAAACGAAAAAATATGAAACAAAGATGCCAGGGTGACATGTGCAATCGTAAGCATATGCCGTGGTACAACAAATGATGGCGGTGCAATACGTCACTATTCATCTATGGAAAGCAGAGGCGTGCACCTTTCAGTACTGGATTGTTTATTTGGGCCGGTGAATTTTCAGTGCGTGTTTTCCCATTAGTTACGACCTCGCAAGACAACAAACGAAAAAATTGTACCTGGAGGTGCAAGTATTTATAATATATTTACAAACATGACATCAAATCAGGGCTCAGTTACTGTGAGGTGAAAAAAAATGACTCTTTTTATGATCCTACTCGCTACAACCCAAAATCTTAAAACGTCTTTTCTGGAAGTGTGAATTCCTGAGCACTTCGGGACCTCGGCCCGAAAGCAGTGCTTACACGCCTCAGATTACGCGTCTCGACGCTTTCGTTTCTGAGCTGTAGGAGAAATTAGTGATGATTTCAATGAGTACCGCCAAGGTTTAAAGCGCTAATTACGTCGTTAGAGTTTGAGTACGGATGGGGCGAGCCTGTTGCTGTCTCAGCACCATGTAGTGCAGCCAGGCAAGGATAAAGGCTGGCAGAAGGGGGGGGGGGAAGGGTCTCAAGGGGTTTCAGGTGCCCTCTCTAAAATATGCTTCTGTTCCCCCAAACCACTGATGGAAACAACCTTGTTCACTCGAATGCATCACAGATTTGGTCTATAGTGCAGTTGCACGCTCGAAAAAGAAAAGGAAGAAAAAAGTCGCCCACATCTTCCCACAGGGAGAACTTGAATAATTGCGTCACAGAGCGGGGGGGGGGGGGGGTATCGCGTTACTGTTGCCTAAATGGGCATGATTTGCGAATGCCTAATTGTTATTTTGTATATAATCGTCATATTTATTGAATGAAAGAGAAGCGTCGCCTTCAACGTCAAGCGAAAGCCAAGTAAAGGCTACCTTCACTGAATTCCGAACGTGTGAGTCGGTTTTTTACTAGCAGACGCCGGCTGACGCCGAAGCGCGACACCGAAGTGCGACAGCGTGCGACCTAGAAATACTATGCCTTAAAGGGCCAGTAAACAGCCCTGAGGTCAAAAATTTTTTATAAATAGATGTATGTGCAGTTTTTCTTTGCAAACATGCTGCCACGAGTACTTTGCGAATACGTGCTATATTAAGGAAGTGACAGGGGTTAGAACATCGCTCTAAGCTGGTTTGAAATTTTTGCGCGGCCTCGCCCCCCTTCTATCTTCCATGAAGGGGAAGGCGTAGCCCATCGTCGTGACTCCGCCCAATCGGGCAACGTGACACCACGTCAGATATTGACATCTTCGGCGAACTCGATCAGTCGCAACGCACTTCCGCTTGCTGCGAAGCATGGTTGTTTGTTTACCGTTTGCCGCACCAGCCGCGGGGCAACCATGTAAGCGTCAGGCGCGAAGTGTCGACTATGAATGATCAGGTCCCCGACGTACGTCGCCGGATGACTGATTCATTTTAGCCATGCAGCGCGCAGGGCCCCATCGTTAGGCACCCGGTGCCTATGCTTCTCCCCTGCCCAGTCACTCGATTGGCAGCCGACGACAGAGCAACGCTTTTTACCCGTGTTGCTCATGTCAAGGGTGAAGTACGTTCGTATGTGCGCACAGGCGCTGTAGTTGAGCGAGGAGTGTACACGTGCACGTGACAACTGCGAGGCTGGTTCTTTCACCGCAGAGCCAAGAAACAAGGGGCAGTTTCGTAGCAGTGGGTGGGAACAGGAACTAACGTTGGCTTCACTACAGCTGTTTTTTCACACCTGATTTAGACAGATCGGTGAGCTGCTTGGGCGAGTTGCGTGCTACGTCACGTCACCGATCGCCGTGTTGACGTCACTGCGCGTGCAAGGGAGTTGGTCAGGTGTGGGAAAAATGCACGAAAATTGTTTTTCGAAACAGAGGCTCTGCGCGGCACGCAGCGCTGCAATACTCAGAAAACGTGATCGCTGCGATCTTATCTACGAATTGCGAAGTTTGTATAGGGAGTGTAAAAAAAATTTGGAGCCTGTTTACTGGCTCTTAAAAAAATCTTTTACTAGGGCCGTCCAAGACTTGATAAAAGCAAAGCTGGTCGGTCTAAGTAGAAGACTAATTTATCAGTTCGGTAACTTAACTCCAGCTAATTTTCAAACTTGGTTTAAGCAATGGTATTCTTTAATATTTTTCTGACTCTTAGATCTACCATGCTTTCTATCATGTCAGCAAACTTCTTGTTCAAGTAAGCTGTGTTGGATTACCGTCGCCAATCCTCTCTCGCCCCGCACCATGTCGAGCCTCGCGATGGGCAGCATCATCTTCCTGTGCGATCGGGCAGGAGGAAATGAACAGGCGCAGCAAGTCTATTTATGGCGTATTTATTGACGTAGACGATTGCTAAGCGACACCTTCATTTCAAATTCTGGCCCTGCCGAGGTGGTCTAGTGACTAAGGTACTCGGTTGCTGACTCGCATGTCACGGATTCAAATCCCGGCTGTGGCAGCTGCATTTCCGATGAAGGCGGAAATGTTGTAGGCTTGTGTGCTCAGATTTGGGGCACGTTAAAGAACTCCGAGTGGTCGAAATTTCCAGAGCCCTCCACTACAGCGTCTCTTGTAATCATATGGTGGTTTTGGGACGTTAAATTCCACATATCAATTATTCATTTCAACTTCACGGGGTTATGAATAGTAATTTTGATAGTGGCGACGTGGTTCCTACACAGCCGTTGTGCCGCATATGCTCCTTGGCATAACTTTAATTAAACTGTTGCGGTAGCTAAAGGGTAGGTAGAATAGAGTAGACCCTAGAAACCGTGGGCCATATCCTCACACAGGGATTGACCAAGAACCGGTTAGTTTTTTGAAGGCAGTTATGAAATAAAATGTATTGACGAGCGCGGCTTGGTGGTGGCTTGTCCTCACCGTCCTTCGCTCGCTTCGCTCTCTTCTTCACCGTCGTCGTCTGACTTCACGTTGCTCCTCGAAGAAATCGCTTCACACGAAGTATTTTCAAGTTCACTACTGGGTCTCCAGTAGTGTACTAGCGTGGTTGTGTAAGGACAAAACTGTACTGTGAGCTTGCTTTGTGTTGTGCATATCGCATTTATCCCTTCGTAAGTTGAGAGTGAATTACGTTTCTTGAAATGTTGATGTGTTGGAATCTGTATTTTGCATTGAAGTATTGTGTTCTCCTCCCTCCCCCCCCTGTAACAGCAAACAAATGCTGTGGGTACTATGATAAGTAAATTAATATTGAGTGAATACATAATTAAATAAATAAATTCGAGATGTTTGATTCAGTTGTGTTAAAAGACGAGACGCTCTTCAGAAGCATATCTGTGTGTGCTCATAAATTATTTTTATTTCAACACTGTAGGATGTGTCGCTGCACTACGTGTCAGCCGGAAGTCGAGACAAGCCTCTGCTTCTGTTACTGCATGGCTTCCCGGACTTCTGGTTCTCCTGGAAGTACCAGATTTTGGACCTCAAGAAAGACTTCTGGTATGCGTTACTTGTCCTAAACGTACTGGCTGCTTCCGAGACGAACTTCCTATACCCGCTCCCGCTGATAAAAGAACACATTTTTTTGTGTGCGTGTAGCGAGAAGTACCTAATAAGCCATAGTGTTGAGCCTTCATGAATGTATTTCCAACTTTACAGTTCTTATTTCGCCTATTTTATGAAAAGCAGGAATCTATTAGCATCACTTATGAAAATGGTGTTGTCCTATGGGCCATCAAGCGCAATATATTATTTGGCCTAATGCTTCACCTATTTTAAGCCTCATTAAAATTCATTTGAAGCATCAAGTTTTATTGTTCACATGATATATAAGGAATCGTTAGTGCACAAGTAAGGTGCCGGCTACACCTTAGCCCTTGAGGGAATGTTGAACAAATATCTTTAAAAAAATAAAGAGTGGTATTTGCAGGAACACACATGCGAAAACGCATTTGCAAAAACACACTCAATCGCAGATATCAAAAAACACCAACAAAAAGATAAGAAAAGGTTTGAAAATCAATCAATAATGTTTCTGATAATATCTCTAGTGAAGATTAAATCCAACCAGCACAAAATAGCAGTGCACACGTCTGGTTCGTATGGAGAGGTATTCCCTCGTATGTACATAACACTTCACACGTTATCCACTTCAGCACACACACATGATGGATGTCGTATAATATTGCGCATACTAAGTACATCTTTTATACAAATAAAAGTTCGTGATTTCTTGGTATATAGCTGTCAGCGATTCCGCTGACTTCTAAAAAAACATTTCAACGCTTTTAAAGTGTACATCTGTAAAGCAACATTCCACCACGGGCCCAGAAGTTTCTTGATACTGAACAGTATGTGGTCTTATGCCAACAGTTCCGATTTGTGATGATGTGGGCAGTCAATAATAATGTGACATGCGTCTTCAACTACAAATTCATATTCGCATTTGGGAGTTGTTGCTCTGCCATTTCTGTGTAAAAATATTTTGTGTACGCGGTGCCTACCCTCAGCCGGTGAATAAGTGTTTCCATACTTCTATCTAGTGCTAGCGTAATTTTGAATTTCAATCTATATGATATAAATCACAGCTCTTTGTACTTTGGTCAAAGTTTTTTCTGCTTAATCGGAAATTTGTTGCGCTTATAAGCACTACACAATTTATTTTTCGGGACCGGTAAAGAAAAAGTCACAACATTGCCACAAAGGCGAAAGAATGAACGCGGTAGCAACAAATTGGAAGGTCACGCGCAGAATGGGGAGCATATCGAAACGTTCCCGGTGTTTCTCACGCACAAAGCACGCAAGAAACGTACACACAGGGACATATTAACGCAAATAAGCGTCTCAGTTGTTACTTTGCTGTGTCTGAAAAGCACGTGCTTTTTGCAAGTGGAGGCTGTGCAGTGATTGCAGTGACCTTTGTGTGCCCAGTAACTACAACAGAATCGTTCCGACGAAACTCAAAGGCTAGCCAAGACGTGCGGTTCTCCCCACTGCAAGATAAGGGCTCGCTCAAGCGTACACCCGCTTATTCTCTACGCGAGCCAATGTACGCGTGAGAGATGAGAGCCACCGCGCGCTTGCAGCGTCATCTTGCTGATAATGCCGAAAACACAATAATTCCACACCTCTCCCTCTGAGATGCACGTCAACAGCGGTAAGTGGTATGTATGAATAGCTTGCCATTTGGATTCGCTCGCAGGATTTCAAGCTGGACGGTGGTGCCTTCGCGATCTCCGACATCAGCGTAGCTCCCGCCGACTGGTTCGCTCTCCGCGGTCTCCTGACGCCGTGCAGCTCTCGCATTGTGGCGCCCCGCCCTTGGACTGCTTCGACCGGATCCCCACTTTCCTATCTCCTTCTTTTTTCTCTCGCTTGGCTGTCTTCTTCTCCGTCTATTTTTCTTCTATTCTTTTTATCCCTCCTTCCCCCCACCCCCATAAGGCACTGCGCCGTGTCGCCTGAAGGCAGACAGAAATTAGGTACCTTTTTCCTCTTCATTCTAACCACTTCCACCCACCACCACCATTTGAACGTTCAAGGAGGTACCTCTCGGTGGCTCAGTATAGTTAATGCCTCGCAATCACGACCTTGGAGGTCCCACGTTCGATTCCGCGCACCGGAGTTTTTTTTCTGAAATATTTTCTTTCTCGCGTTTTCATATGTTTATTACATACGTATACATATACGGTGCATGATATCGACGACGACGTTGACGCCGACGCTGGTGGCGAAATACAGCCGAGAGTGTCCATATTGTAACGACGCAGATACAGCAGAACTCGGATATAAAATAGCTCACTTTAATTACTTGCAAAACGCTCGTAAAGAAGACCGGGCAAGAACTTCGTCTTCCTTTCTTGCTGCGCGAGCAAGTTGCAGGTTGAATGCGGCACTTGCCTCCCTCCAGGAAGAGCATCGTCCCGAAGCTCTAGGACAAAATACGTGGTTTATGTAGTTGATGTATTATGCAACTGGCTCACTGCAATATGGCTTCATCCGCACATTGTGTACGATTTCAGATTTTTGATGGCAAGTTCGCAAGGAACTTTCAGCGATGACCTCATAGTTCACGTCACTTAGGCTCCGTACAACATTGTAGGGACAACAGTACTTCTTGAGTAATTTTTCAGAAATGGCCGCGTCGGCGGATAGGGCTCCAGACCCACACTTTTTCGCTTGGTTGATAAGTCGCGTATTGGTGTCACAAGTTATAACGTTGTCCGTCGTAACTTCGCACCGGCCGATTCGCACGCGTGCAAGCTGCCATGCCTCTTGAGCTCGTTAAGTAAAGGCTTGGGCATCGGTGTCTGTATCGTCGCAGTCGTGGAGCAACATGGCATCAAGCATTGTCATCACTTCACGGCCATAAAGAAGACTAAATGGCGTGCTTCGGGTAGTTTCCTGCTGCGCCGTATTATAGGCAAACGCCACGAATGGTAGAGCGTCGTCCCAATTTTTATGATCCACGTCGATGTACATACTCAGCATATCGGCAATTGTCTTTTTGAGGTGTCCTGCTAATCCGTTGGTTTTTGGGTGGTAGGAGGTAATTTTTCAATGTGTTGTTACACTGAGCTCAAGCACTGACTTAAGGAACATGGCTGTGAAAGCGGTACCTTTGTCCATTATTATAATCCTTGGAGCACCATGCCTCAGAACGATATTTTCAATGAAAACTGTACCGCTTCCACTGTGGTTCTGCTTGATAAAGCCTCTGTTTCTGCGTAGCGAGTAAGATAGTCGGTAGTGTCAATTACCCACTTGTTTCCCGTACGCGAAGCCAGAAATGGTCCAAAGAGGTCCATTCCGAGTTGTGCAAAAGGCACGGTGGGCACTTGATCTGGTTGCAACAATCCGGCTGGTTTTAAAGGTGACGATTTTCGTCGTTGACAATCGAAGCACGTGCAGACGTAATCCTTTACAGTGCCTGGATGCTTCAGCCAGTAGTAATTCTCTTGGATTCTGGTCAATGTGCGCGTGTATCCGAGGTTGCCGGAGGTTGGCCCATCGTGGCAAGCACTCAGATGCTCATCGCGAATGGATGTCGGGACGACAAGTAAGTGGGCACTTCCGCTGGAGGAAAAGTTTCTGTTATATAGGACACCACTGCGCAAGAAGAATGATGACAGGCTCCTTGCAAATATCTTGGGAACGCTTGTAGACTGGCCATTAAGAAAATAATAGGAGGAAACAACTAGCTGTCTTCTTTCTGCTTAGACGAAATGATGACGCCGTCAACCACTCCTAAAAACGCCATGTCATCTTCTTCTCGGACATCGTCTTGCTTTATAGGTGACTTGAATAAGCAATCAACATCGGTGTGTTGCCGTCTCGACGTATAGACGACCGTCATATCGAATTCTTGAAGGCGTAAGCTCCAGCGTGCTAGCCGACCATATGGGTCCTTCAAGTTGGTCAGCCAGCAAAGGGAGTGGTGATCGCTGACTACATGGAAGGAACGGCCGTAGATATACGGGCGAAACTTCATAACTGCGCATACTACAGAAAGACATTCTTTTTCTCTTGAGGAATAATAGGACTCGACACGGGAAAGCGTCTTACTTGCACATGCGATCACTCGCTCGGCTGAGTCTTGCCACTGGACGAGTACAGCGCCTAAACCTACGTTCCTGGCATCGGTATGGATAATGGTAGGAGCATCCTTGTCAGAGTGCGCAAGCACAGGTGGTGTCTGCAGGCGCTGTCTTGGATCATCAAATGATGCTTGTTCATCTTCGTCCCGTAAAAATGAAACATCGTCTGTCGTTATTCGTGTTAAAGGGGACGCCATGTGGAAGAAATTGGTGATAAATCAGAGGTAGTAGGCACAGAGGCCAAGAAAATGTCCCACGGCCTTCTTATTCATTGGCACCGGAAACTTTCGGATGGCATCGATCTTGTCGGGCTCCGGATTAACACCTTCATGGCTCACCAGACGTCCTAAGAATCGGAGTTCCTTGAAACCGAAATGACATTTTTCAGGTTTCAGCGTTAGGCAAGCGAAACGTATTGCTTGAAGTACTAATAGCAGCCTTCTTAGATGTTCCTCGAATGTTGCTGAGAAAAAAATGACGTTGTCGAGGTATACCAGACACGTCTGCCACTCAAGGCTTGATAGGACGGTATCCATCAGTCTCTGAAATGTTGCTGGAGCTGAGCACAATCCGAAGGGCAAGACTTTAAACTTGTAAAGTCTGTCAGGCATAACAAAAACAGTCTTTCTCTGTCTCGCTCATCGACCTCGATTTGCCAATATCCGCTTTTCAGGTCCATTGACTAGAAGAAAAATGGCAGCACATCCACGGAGTGAATGATGGAAAGTGGGGCGAAGTATCCGTCTGTCCATTCGTTCTTGCTTCCGTCTCTCCACGCGTCCGCCTGTGTGACCGTCCGCTTGTTCATTCGCCCGTCCATGCGTTCGTCTGTTCGTGCGTCTGCACGTCAATCTGTGCGTCCGTCCCTGCGTTCGTCCATGCTTCCGTCCCTGCGTCCCTCCA